TCACCTATCACTACCATATTTTTAAAAAAATAATAAATTAACATGACAATATTTCACTTCAATAGTACTTAATTATAAAAACTGAGACCAAAATACCACAGGAATGTAACTATATTAAATTTTATTTTTTGGCGTTATTGCTCATTATTAGGGTTAGTCTTTCCTTTGATCTTTTTATTATGTAGAAATCATTTATTATGTAGAAATCATAATGGACCTATGTGTTTTCAAGCATGTGTTTATCTCTAAAATTCAACTTTTATCATAGACGATAAAGGATATCCTCTTAAATATATCTGAAAATAATTATATGTACGCTTGTGTCTTGCAATGAAAATAAATAAAATACATAACCAAATAATTTTAAATGTAGAACTATATTTGATACAACATTTTAATACAATAACTATTATATGTTACATTTTCAAGAGNTTAATGGGACAATTAAATACTTAATAATTTGTAAGCAATAAAAGGGCCACAGAAATAGAAAAGTTAGATACTAAAAACAGTTAATAATTTTGTAAGAAATAAAGGGCTTCAGAAATGCATTTGCTTCTTTTATGATAATTTGTCGAATGCAAATCGATTTATAATGAGATATTTAGCAAATGTCTGAAGATGAGATGGCGCATCTATATATCTATATTATTATAAAAACATGAATGTTANGGATTACATCTCTTTTTTTCTACAAATACACATACAACATTCACACGCTCAGATGATAATGTCGAATCATTTTAAATTCAAGTACTATGTAAGTATAATAACATTTGAAAAGTATGAATATAAAAAAAATTGTGATCAAATATCAACGTACAATAATTATCGTGCAACGCACGTTCATAGAAACTAGTGTATATAAAAGAGGGGGAAAATAGTGCTGACATGACACCCCTCTTAGTCTCGGAAAAGCATTTATCTTTTTTTTTTCATTTTTTTTTTGAGTTTTCCTCTCATTTTTCTACAAAACGGAGGGGGAAAAAAAAATAATAAAAGCGTGATTCGGTTACTACAGAAGCCTCATTACTTTTCCCTTTTCCATTTAAGAGTTCCATCTATTTGCCATCTCCTGTTCTCATTTCGAACTTTTGATTATATTTTCATATTTGAATTGTTCGATTTTGTGTTTGTTTAATTGTTTTGGTGAAACATTTTACTTATTCGGTAATTCGCATATTCTTTGTTATCGTGTTCGTTATTCCCTCTTATATTCTGATTATTTATACCTTTAATTATAACAGATGTATGGAGGAGTGCAGAATGAGGGCCTAACATCCAGGGGTGGATTTACCCTTTTTGAAGCGGTGTCATCCGACACCGCTTCGCCGAACTTTTTTATTAAATATATATAAGTAATATGCAAAAGAAAAAAGGCGTCAAGTAAAATAAAATGACAAAACCTAGTCAAAGTAGCATAGTTAGTTCACTGGTAAATCCTCTGAAATTTAAGGCAGTGGTCAGCGGTTCAAGGCTTTCGCTGCCGAGATCATGATAAAAGTTTTTCAGGTCTTAGGGAACTTGGTAATCTTTCCATAAAACTAGTGGAGACAAAGAAGCATGCGACTTATCTTCTTTGTTTTTCAACTTAAAAAATTTTCTTTGCTTTTGCCAATTACTACCGCTACTGTTGAGAGAGCTTTTTCGGCAATGAAGTTGATTAAGACCGATTTGCAGAGTCGAATAGATGATGAGTTTTTCAGTAGCTTGGTGCCTTACATAGAAAATGATGTATTTAGTCTTATTCCTAATGAGGTTGTTATGAATACCTTCCAAAATATGAAAACTCATCTAGGAGAGTTATAGTAAGGTACTTTTAAAATATGATGTCGTTACTATATTTGTTTCTTTGTCTACTTCTTTAAATATCAACATCACTTATGAAAAATCTTGCGTACGCTCTGCATAGGTCAATCGAGAAACTTCCAATGGTTCATTTACACTTGAGCTTCTATATTCTTTTACTTTTGTGTTTTGTTGTTTTGCAAAAGGGGATTTTGCTTAAGGAGGACAAAAATTAATATTTATACTTTAAAAGTAGATGTATTACAAGAATGCGCTAACAACTTGCTGTGATTTCATAAAGCTTTCTTTGAGAATACAATGTTGCTGTGAGACCGTGAGAGCTGTTGGCCATCAGGATCCTTACAGCTTGTTTGGATGGTTGTTACATATCGTTTCATAATGTATCGTATTGTATTGTATTGTATTGTATTGTACTGTATCGTTTGATGAATATAATGTTTGGATGGATTGTATTGTTTTGCCGTCATTTCATGGTATCATGCACCAGTAATATAATGAATAAACTTGCAATATTATAAAGAAAAATTATGAGATGGTATATAAAAAGGTAGGGTAAATGATAAAATAAAATTATTTAACAATAATGAAGGGTGAGATTGAGAGAAAAACACAAGGAAATGATGCGGCCACACCAGATCAGTCGTTACATAAAGTGGTACATTTCATCGTTACGTAACGACAGATTTAACGATACGATACAATAAAATTTAAGTAACAATCAAAACAAGCATTGTATTTAAAGTAACAATACGATACAATAGAACTGGTAACAACCATCCAAACAACCTACTAACTTGTAATGCATTTTCTGAATTCTGCTATTTAATTTGTATTTTTATATCAGCTTGAAAAATGTAATTTTCGCACGTCTTTGAAAAAAACTCAATTGTTTGCTTAAGCACGTGCCTTATTAGGCTAACACAATTTGATTTGTCCCATCACTTATCCAGTGTTGCTAATTACTGTATAAGATCCAATTTTTTAGAATTTGCACAGTTGTTTCAATGTTAGAGTAAGCAATGAACTTTTTCTCTTTTATTTTCACTTAATACATGTAAAATTTATCAATTAACGCAACGCTGGTTTATTTGTTTAATATTTTATTTGCCTTCATATATCTCCGTCGTTTTTCAAATATAACAAACAAATTGGTTATTAAGGAGTATATTCTGGCTTATTGCTTAAGAACATATTATCTTTCATTTATTTAATGTTCAATTTGTTGAGTTTTAACTTTTCCCACATGGAATCAACCTTAAGAATATTATCACAACAAAGAGTAACTAATCTTTTTAAATTTGCGCGGACAAATTTCCTAGTTAACGTATAAGTTGGATTACGAATTAATGAGATTTATAAGAAGCATTCTACAATTGCGATTACAAGTCCGAATGCCATTTATAACTTGCATTAACTTCTTTATCCAGCAGTTGACCAAATCTTTGTAAAGTCCAAATTTCGATTTGTCGGTGCTTTCTTGAGCTGAGGGTCTCCTGGAAACAGCTTCTCTGCCCCTCGGGGTAGGGGTAAAGTTTGCGTACATACTACCCTCCCCAGACCTCACTTGTGGAATTATACTGGGATGTTGTTGTTGTTGAAAACCTACAAAGAGCTCTAATTTTTTAAGTTGTATGTTGTAGCATCTGGAGGACATTCGAAATCATCAAACTTATTGAAGTTCTCAAATGCAGTCTTTCCCCGACCCAATATTGAAAATATATGAATAATGTGTTAAGCATGAAGCTGAGCCATTGAAGCAACGACGATACGAGGTTTGACTTCTTCTCAACTCTTTAACAACTAGAAGAAGTGCAATTGTATATAAACCCTCCAAATATCTTTTCTTCCTCTAATACGTGACAATGTTCCTTTGTAAAGGAGGAAAATTCAACAATTTATTTTTTCCTCGATCCATTTCTCATTCACACTATTTTTTTTAGCTAAAACCAACACAAACAAGATACCAATCTTCTTTTCTCCAATCTGCTTCACCAAATCCCAGAAAGCATAGGCATTCTCAGGTGCATTATGCATACCATAAGGAGAATATATGAATGTGTCTTGAATACGCACTCACGTCGTCGTCTCCTCCATATCTATTTCCTCCGCCTTTTCATCGTCGTCGTTAAAACCAATATTAAAAACAACGGATCGATCCATGATTTAAATTCTATGTGTTCAAGTTTTAATGTTTTTAATATTAAACACATTACATTCAGATGAACGATTACTGAGTAGTACCCGAGGAAGAAATGCATAGCCATGTAAGAAATCATATTTAATACATAAAAAGGATTACAAACCTTAAATATGATTCAGGTGTTACATAATTGGAAAATGGAGAATTGGAGCTACTGTTATTTTCTATTTTATTTTAATTATATTTGGCCTATAGCAATTTGAGCTAGTGTTTGTTGACAACTTTAGAGTAATATTTTCTATAAGTAGTTTAATTTCTAGATTATGGTCTAATATTTTCAATTAATTTGTGCTAAACCTTCAAATTTCGCTCTAAATTTTGTTGTCATAGATAGGGCTATGCATAATTTGGTAAATATCGAATTAACGTATCGAAACCAAAAATTTTGGTATTTGGTATTCGATATTTTAGTATTCGCTATGGTATTTGGTTTAAGTTTTAAAAAAAATTGGTACTAGATATGGTATTTGGTATTTTAAAATGAAATACCGATACCGCACCGAAATATATATTATATTACACAATACACATATTATTAATTATAACATAAATATCAAAAATCTAAAATTTTACTTTCCTTTATTCTCTAAGTTCATAAATTAACTCTAAGCAAACAACATGACATTTCTAATGATCAAATTTATTTTCTTTATGTATAATTTTCTTTCTCTGGGTTTATATTTACTGGTTTTGGATAAAACTTTTGTCAACAAATATTTTTAGTTTTTTACTTTTGAGTACTTTAATTAAGAATATTATAGTTTATGACTCTTGTATTAGTTAGTATTCAAACCGAATAAATCAGTGTTAGCGAACCGAATAAATCGAAATCGAAAGAAGAAAAATCGAACCATACCAAAATTAATTAGGTACTATATTGATATAACATTTTAAGAAACGGAATAGAAAATATCAAACTGTACCGGACCCAACGCCAGTTCTTTTTCCCTCTTTTTTAGGGATTTGAAAAACAAACCCAAATCCATCTTCTTCTCCTCTCATTATTCGTTACTCTCGTTGAACTGCTTCAATTCTCCATTAGCCGAAAATAGAGGCTGAGAAGTGTCCCATTTGGTGGCCGCCGGCGAAGCTGTTCGAAAAAAGGGTCAGAAAATTTAATTTCTGAAAATCTTAGTGTACTTGCATCTGCTGTCTCGTGCATATTTGAATGTTATAGAAATTTTTTGTGTTAATGAGGTCGCTAATTAAACCCTACTTTTATGGATTCAATTAATGATTCATTTAGTTGTTCGCTTTCACTGATAGGTGTTTGTTTACTGGCGTCATATACTGATATACAATGACAATTATTTTCTAATTGTGTATATCTCTTATTACTCGATCCGTTTCAATTTACGTGAGTTAGTTTGACTTAGCTTAAAGTTTAAGAAAAAAAACAACAAGATATTTTTGAAACTTGTGGTCTAAAAATCTTAGAGGGTAAAAGCTTTTGCAGGGACTTCAATTTTTATGGTTATAAAAGCTTCTCATTAAGGGAAAATTGTATAAAATGAAAAGTGTTAAACTGCTTCCAAATATAGAAATGCATCATTCTTTGAGGGTGTTTGGCTAAACTTATAAGTTGGTCAAATTGGCTTATAAACACTTTTTGCTTATCTACGCGTTTGGTTAAATTAAAAGTGCTTATAAGTTAAGTGCTTATAAGTTAAAAATAAGTCAAAAGCCATAAGTTGGTCTCCCACAACTTATCAAATTTCAGCTTATAAGAACTTTAGGTTTGACCAAAATATTTACTATTCTATCCCTAAAATACTTCTTTTTAAAACAAAACTCTTCGTATATCTAGTTCTTCAGCTGCTTATTATTTATTTCAGCACTTTTATCAAAACACGTAACTGCTTATTTTAAATCAGTTTCAGCACTTAAAAGTGCTTTTCAGCACCTAATGCTTATCAGCTACTCTAAATCAGCTAAGCCAAACTGGCTCTTTGTGAAATGGAAACGGAGGGAGTATCTATTTGCCTTAGATGTCGTGTTTGAAATTTAGAATTGTAACTACACCAAAAGTGAAATTCATGCCAAACTCTGTTTACAGAATTTATGATAATATGGCGGGACTGCAAGATGTGGCTGATTGGTCGGACCTTCAACATGATCTGCTGGTTCTAATAGTTAGACGTTTAAATTTGATTGAAGACTACCTTAATTTCGGCATGGTCTGCAAATCGTGGCACTCTATGGCCACCAAGGCCAATTTTAACAGTGACTTGCCTAGGATTTCCTGGCTGATGTTAGCTGAGGAGGAGGATGATAACACCTGTATAAAATTCTTCAGTCTCTATAATGGCATGATTTTGAAGAAGCGGATTCCGGGAGCCAGTGGAAAATGATGTGTGGAGTCTATGGGGTGCCTTATCACAGTGGGAAAAGACGAGGGTGAAATCAGTCTGTTACATCCCTTCTCTGGTGTTCAGATCGAATTGCCCCATCAAAATGCCACTGAAGATTATTATGAACTCAACGACACTGAAGAACCGTGGACCTTTATCAGGAAAGCAGTTCTCTCAGCTAATCCTTCTCAGACATCTGACTATGTTCTCATGGTCATTGAGGGACCCAACCAATTCCTTAGTTTTTAGAGACTAGGAGATTTACTATGGACCAGGATTGGGAGTGGAACCTCTTTCCAACATGTTAGTGATGTGGTATATTTTGATGGCCTCTTTTACACGGTTGCTTATGGCGGCTTTGTCTATGTTTGTGATGTTGCTCTCTCTGGACCTGCTAAAACTCATTTCGTAGCAAAGTTACACGGGATCCAGATGCGGAGTGTTACATCCTAGAATCATTAGGATCATTATTTGTAGTTACGCTATATTATGTAATAAAGAGAGTCGAGAATGATCTTGAGATTCCATTGACGCCCATCTATACCACAGATAGTGTGAAGTGGACATATCGGACAACAAATATTCAAGTTTTCCAGGTAGATTTAGCTGTTGGCAAAATGATTGAGACCAGGGATTTATGGGACAGAGCTTTTTTTCTGGGCGCTAATGCTTCTCTTTCAGTCCAAGCTTCTCAATTTCCAGGAATCAAGCGCAATCATATTTATTTTACAGATAATTGTTTGATTGAGCACACTGAGTTTGAAGAAGGAGGCGGCTCGGACATGGGGGTGTTCAACTTAGCAGATGGAAGTTTCCAGCCGCATTACGAGGGTATTTCCCTCAGTCGTGTTTGTCCGCCACTTTGGGTCACACCAACTCTGCGTTGAGTGAGTCACCTTTCTTTATTTACTCTATTTATTATGCTATATGTTTTATTTTACCCTGAAAGCCGAGTTCGTTTAAAACATTTAAACGTGCCATTTACCTTCAGACTTGATTGATGTATCTTTCTTATTATCCATATAATTGGATAAGGTACACCCATTAGTTGTTATACTTCCTTGCTTCATGGTATGTTGTGTTGGAATGCATTACTGCTTCGAAACCTCTTTCTATATCAGTATCGTCCTTGTTCTCAAGTTTCCTACCGGAAACCGTTCATGATCTAATAATATTGATGTGCAATCACCATTCAATTTGCAATTGACATACTAACTGAAACACAGAAGTAGAAGATGTAACCATCTTCTAGCTGTCTATAGAACAGAAAGAGGGTGTAAGATGCTTCTATTACTCTGCTTCAATAAATGTGTTTCGAAGTTATTTTTTAAGGGCTTAAGTCCAAGTGGGAATTGATCTATTACAAGGTAAAATGAGTTTCATACAAAGAATAAATATATGATGGAGATGCTTGAACGGACTGCCATTCTGCTTGTACTAGTTTAATTGTTAGCTTCTCTTGCTTGGAACAGTAGAAGCAACAAGGCAATGTTTGAGGTTCTTCATTTTGATGTTTCTGTTGCATCCTCTTCTTGAATCATCCTTTGAATTCACCTAACTCTTAATCCTTGTGGCCGATGTTACATCAACTTTGACCTGGATCATCCTTTTAAAAACCTCTTAATCCTGCTGACGGATGTTACATCAACTTTGACCTTGTAAGCACTACCATGTCTTCCTTTCTCAACCAATTCAGCTGGAGCTTAAATTAAAACCTCGAACTCAGTTTTTTTGAGCCAAGAGGATATAAAAAGGTTAATGAGGCCGTTGCGCTTTCTCGGGATGTTATTGAATAGTTCAGCTGGACTCACTAACAGAGCCGAATGGTCTTGTTTTGAAAGTGAAGGTTTTGTACATTTTCTGCTTATACTATTTCATTTGAGCGCTGTTTCTCTTTTCTCCTTGTTGCTCTTAAAAAGTATTTATGCAAGTTGAATTATGATAACCGACCCAACAATAGCACCAGATAAGATAGAAACTGGAGGGGGGTTGGNTGTTCCTGTATACTAATCAGAAAAGAACAGGTTAACAAATGTTTATGTAAATATAATTAGTATAAATCTGGTTTATCACATCTTGTTGAGTTTGGAACAAGTATTTGCTGTCAGCTAGCAGGAAGACGCATCTAGGAGCATTTTTGTGTCTGTCAGATAAATGTGATAAAGACACCAAATACGCCCATGTCAACGGTGTTGAATAACTCATTCCATATTTGGTTAACTATGTAAAGAGTTCGGTTGTTTTCATGTGTCTTATTGGAAATTTTGCATGTTTAACTCCCCATGAACACGAGAAGTTTGTATACAGACATTTTTAACTGTAATTTGAGTTAATTCGTGGAATCTGAAATCTTAAAGTTCAAAATAGCACTCTTTCAAATAGGATATGAAAAGGTGACAGAGCCTGCAAACTGAGATTAGTTGTCGCCTATGGTGATACAACTATCTAAACGGATATTAGATGAAGGAGATGCGAGAGCAGAACCACTTCTCATTGTTGCACTGGTTTGAATGGTATCTAAATGGATTGTTGGATGAAGGAGATCCTCTTTTTCCCTTGTCTCTTGCTATTACTGTTTAACTGGCATGTCCCATTTATTTTAGATATTGCTTTTGATCATCCATGTTTCCTTGACAGGCATCCTTTGATTCATCAAAGCCAGTTACATCTGCTGATGTTCAGGAGATCTTTGAGAATCTTAGTGTAGGCGGGTAACTTAAGTTGTTTTGGATGTTCGAGGATGTAGCTTTGCAGCTAAACGTCTAGTATTTTAACTGCTCTATGTACAAGGAGAAGTGTTAATGTTGCTATTCAACTATCTACCTCTAGCTTATAGTAGTATGTTCTATGGTTAGACAATGCTATCATGTTACTGTTATGCACTTATGCTGAAAGAATTCCCTTGAGCAATGGAAATTGCTGTAAAATGTTTCTGCTGGATCGCAATTTCGCATTCTTCTTCCCTTCCCCTTTACAAGGTCCCTATTCTAGCTTCAAGAAAGGGAGCTTCTTGTAGTAGTTTGTACAATTCAGTATTGCATAACGCTGCTGTTTATATATCGATGTTGTTACTGCTCCTTTTCATTTTGTCCTTGAGCTGAGGATCCTCGGAAACAGCCTCTCTACCTCCACGAAGTTGGAGTAAGGTCTGTGTACACACTACTCTTCCCAGACCCTACTTATGGGAGTATACTAGGTATGCTATTGTTTGTTGTAGTATTGCATAACGCACAGGGGCATTGGCCAGAGTAGTAACAATAGTATAGTTCATGAAAGATTCTGACACTGAAATGCAGTATAAATTTAAGAGGTCTCTTTGGAATGCCGCTTTAATATTGAAAGAATAAGAAATTTATTAGATGAATTTAGCTTCAATTTTTTTTGTGTTTGATGATTTTTTGCAGAAAACAATTGAAGGAGTAGCCGATCACAAGTCATGCAAATCAAGAAGGAAATGTGTAGATTGTGATATACTGAATGTGGCCCGGTATGTAAATGATTTAATTTCTTTTAAGCCTTGAGGCTAATCTTATTTTATAAGCGGTGTCACAATTTGAACAAGTGGACTAATGAACAAATTACTATAATGATAATTGATGTCAATTTTATATTTATCCTCAACAAGGCATACATGCCCCTGGCTAGAATTATCTAATACATGTGCGGTGAATAAAATTACTTCATACTTGTGTTGATAGAAGGTAGCTAGTATCGATGGAATAATTGAGGTGTCCCCAAGCTTGCTCGGACATCATTGCTACCAAGAAGAAAAGATGTTGGACGTGTTATAGGAGACATTAAAATGGTTAAACAACTGCATCAAAGACAATTATTATTGAGAACTTGTGGTAAAATTGTTAATATGTTGAATAATTGATCCCAACTAGTGGGGGCAAGATTAGGTTTATAATTATGTTCTTTTATTACAAGTGAAAGGTAGCTGTGCTTGGCTCCAACAAGTCAAAAGGGTCTTCTCAAAAGATTTCCACAACCAGTCACTCTTCATCTTCTCACCTAAACTTTGTAGACTGTCTAGTGATGATTATTGTCCATTTGATATTTTTTTATTAAAATAGAGCGGGATGTGTCTGGATCAGTTTACACATATTAAAACTAATTTTATCGGTACCTATTATCTCCTATCAACATTTAACTCTACCCTGTAAGACTTGGGAATTTGGGAAGAAATCAACGAGTATTTTATGCTTCCCTCCCCCGCAATTTAAATATAAAAATCCATGATTTTCATTTACATACTATATTGAACACTTTGCTACACCCATAAGTGTCGATTTTTTTAATTAAAATAGAACGGGGTGGTGTTTGGATCAACTTACACATACTTTAACTAATTTCATCGCTCTTTTACAAAGAGGAATTTCAAATCTAATACCTATCATCTCCTATCAACTATCGAATAATTCTACCCTATAGGGCTTGGATATTTGGGAAGAAATTAACGAGTATTGTTATGCTCCCCTCACCCCCGCAATTTAAATATAAATTCATGACTTTCACTCACTCCATTGATTACTATGCAGTACTTGCTAGTGTCATGTTTAAAAGAGAAATAAACCCCCTTTTCTCAATCTCAAGATTATGTCCTGTTAAAACAAAAACGACAAAAGATTTTTAACGAAATCACGTAATTATTTAGTCTAAATTATTTTAAAAAGCATTAAATTCCCGACAAGCATAGTTTCATATTTCAATGTTTGTTCGAATCCATGACGCTAGACTGGCGTCATGATTATGTCAATTGGGGAAAATTAATATTCATTCCTTTAGAGATTTGATTAACAAATTATGATTTTAGATAAGCTAATTTAATTTGCATACCACATCAATACGTTAACCTTTACATGCTTATCCATATTTTGCCATGACTCCGTACAATAAATTAAACCCATACAATACATGCAGAAGTTAGGATGATATCATAGATGCTCGTTGTAACAAAAATAAGACATTAAGGGAAGAACGTGACCCAAAAAAAAAAAAAAAAAAA